AGACTTGAAATCCCCAGGTCCCGGCTGGGCCTGCAGGCTGGACTCCTGGCCTGCGCTGTAGGGACCCGGAGACCACAGTGCCAGCTCCGTCCCTTGATCTCATGGACCCGACCCTCCACGGTAAACCCAGGGACAGGCAGGAGGGGCTGCAGGGCCTGCCCCGCCCCCCACGCGTCCGCCCCCCAGCCATTCATTCCTCGAGGGGTGTCCCCTGGCCACGTCCCTCAACCCGGTGGCCAGACACCAGGGACTCCTGCCTCAGTTTCCCTGAGGTAACGTGGGCACCAGGGTGTGGGCCTGACGTCCCTCCCACTGTGGTGTGGGCTGCCCGGGGCCTCGCCCTTGCGCCAGGTGCCCAGGTCCGGTGGCCACGGCGGAGGGGCTGCACTGCCAACCTAGACTGGGTGCTGGGAAAGGTGGGGGCGCCCTCTCCTTCCTCTCTGGTGGGCACCTGCGGCAAGCCAGGGCTGGCTGGCACCCACAAACCCCGCGGCTGGGTGGGCGGGCAGGTGGGGAAGCCAGAGGGAGAAAGAAGGTCCCGTGAAAACTGTCTGCCATGGCGTCCCGGCCTGGGGTCGGGGAAGGCCCCCTCGCGCGGGAGCTGGGTGCAGGGAAGGCCGCCTGGCGGAGGCGTGGACAGGGGGTCTGGTCTGGTGGGTTTCACATCAGCACGTTTATTCTAAGAGGTGAGGCCCAGCCCCCAGCTTCTCTGCTGTGCTCAGTGTCCCCTGGGTCTGCGGAGCTTCCTGCCTGCCCTGGGGTCCTGGTCCTGATGCTGTCCGGGGTGCCTGAGCATGGCAGGTGGGGGCAGCTGAGTCAGACCTGACCTGGTCCACGTTCTCTCTGAGCGCTTTCAGCCATTCTCTGCCCTGCGTGGGAAGCGTCTTTGCTTTCTCGTCAGCCACGCGGAACGGTGTGAAAGGCACCTTGTTAGAGATCCCCCGTCCCCCACGGCCCGGCCTCCGCCCCAGGCCTCCCACCCTGGACATTTGCAAGCCGTCCTCCTGGGGGCTCTGACCTGGGACATTTGGGCTGCTTCTTGGTTTTTCCTGATTCTGGTGGCTGAAGGGGATCAGCCTCTGGGGCTAGAGCAGGCCCTGCCTGAATGTCCTCATTCCTGGGGGCCACCCTCCTGGCCAAGGCCTTGCCCCCAAGGCAGGGCCCCATGGACTTTGGAGCCTTCGGGGAACGGCAGGGGGGCTGAGCAGATACTGCGGGGGGGCAAAGGTTCTGTGGGGGCCCTGCGGTCTGCCGATTCTTTACAGCCTGCCCCCTCCTTTAGAGCCGCCCAGGCCCCTTGGAGGCTGGGAACTGGCACAGCTGCCCAGGTGGGGCCCCGCTGGGGACTGATTTGGCGCCATTCTGCTGGGCGACCTCAGGTTGCCGGCCCTGCACTAGCCTCGGTCACTTTGTGGGTTTTCTGCGAGTCTCAGGGGTCTGTTCCGGGACTTTCCTTCTGCACCCCGGGCCTGGGAGCCAGGGGGCTGGGGTCTTCCGAGCCAGGTCTGAGCCTGGGACTCCCTGGAGGCCCCTCCTGCAACAGCTGAGCCCCACCTCTGCCCACTGTGAGGTGGCTGAGGGGGTGGTCAGCCAGGCCAAGAACTTAAGTGACCTGAGCAGGACCTTCCTGCTTTCTGGGCCAGGGCTGTCTCCCCTGCCTGTCCTCCGGGCCACACCTGAGCTCTGGGCCTGCTTTCCAGCCCCCGCCTCCTCCCCATGTGCCCAGGGCAGGGGTGTCAGGAGAGAGGAGGCCCATTCGCTCTTCACGGGCCCTGTCTGAGTGTCTGAGTCCCTTATGTCAGTACCCAGAGGGAAACTTAAGCAGAGGAAGGGTCAGGCCCAGGAGGGGCCAGGAGATGGGCAGCCTGCCTCTGAGGAGTGGGAAGGAGGGAGCCTGGAGGTCTGAGACCTGCCTTCCAGACTGCGGCAATAGCTAGTGCAAAGGTCCTGCGGTAGGAGCAGGGGGGAGGCCAATGGGAGCTAGGAAGGGCCAGAGAACAGGGAAGGGCCCTGGGGCTGCTGAGTGGAGGAGGGTCTGAAGGGGGGAGGGGCCACTCAGTCTTACTCCTGTCCTCAGTGTCCTTCTGTGAAGCGGGTGGTGCTGGGGACACTGGTGGTAATTGTTGACCCACCCATGCCAAGAAGGAGGGAGAAAGCCACCCCAGGCAGGAGATGCCTGTGGGGACCCTGTGGCCCAGAAGGAGCCAGGGAGGGACATCCCCAGGACAGTAGAGACGGGCACCCTGCAGTCAGTGCACACCCCAGTGGCCTCTGCCCGGCCCTCCAGGCTTTGAGCCTCCTGGGGCAGGGCAGGAGGGCCCAGGGTCACTGCAGCCTGGAGCGGTCTAGGAGAGGCCCCGCTGCAGAGCCATGGGGCTCGTTTAGTGAGCATCCTGAGCACCCTGGCGTGCGGCCTGAGGCTGGACCCCGGGGAGCAGACAGAGGTCCCTGGTGTCCTGGGGAGGCACAGGAGCTCCTCAGGGGCCAGGCAGGGGCTGTGCGCCCTGTGACCCTCCTGCTGGACTTGGGAGGAGCAGGTGTGGGGGCAGCCGTGGGTGGAGGCTTGTCTCTGGGTCAGCAGCCTGGGGTGAGGCCCGCAAGGTCCAGCTGCAGCTTGGGTGGTGCTGCTTATCTCGGCCTCTGCCTGGAAGAGGCTCCAGCCCCTGGCCAGCCTCCCTCCAACGGGGCTGTGGGCTCTGGAGGGGCCTCCGCCAACTTCCGGCCTCTCCAGAGGGGCAGGTCCACCTCAGCCTAGGTGTCTGTCCGCTTGGCACTGTCGCCTTGTACCTTTCCAGGGGGCTGCTGGGCCCACGGGCCAGGAGGGTGCCCTGGACACTGTGCCCTGGGTCCCCACCAGCTGGCCCAGGCGGACCTGCCCAGCAGGGGAGTGGAACTAGGGGCCAGAGCCCTATAAAGCTGGGGCAGCAGCCCTACTGCCCGCTTTGTTGACTGCCCACAGCAGCGACCTTTTGGAGAGGCCTCCCCCATGGGCAGCTGGGGGTCTGCATGTTCCCTTTATGGCCTTGGATCAATGCCCAGCTCCATGGGGGTCTGACTGCCCTGCCGCTGACCACTTGCCTACCAGGTGGCCTGGAGGCTGATGGCCCTGCCCCCTCCTGCACCCCCCCCCCCCAGCTGCTGCGCGCCTGAGGCTGTTTCCACGCCTGGGGTGTGAGGTCCATGGCTGTCCCCAAGCCCAGGGCAGGGGCTTGTGTTTTGGCCTTTGCGGTGCTGGGGGTGAGCCCAGGGCTCTGTGCGGGCGGGCCAGCTGGTGCTGTCCACGAGCCCCAAGCCACTGAATTTTTATGGCATGCTTTTCTTCAAGAAAAATGGGGAAACTGAGGAAGGGGGCTTTGCCTCTGTGGGGGCAGGCCCCCACCTGACTGGGAAGGGCCTCTAGTGTCCCGGGGCTGTGGTGGCAGATGGCCACGACCTGGGGGCTCACGGCCGCAGGCATTTCTTTTTCCTCAGTTCGGGAGGCTGAAGTCAGGTCCAGTGCTGGGCGGGGCTGGGCGGCCTCCCAGGCTCCAGGGAGCCCTTCCTGCCTTGCCCAGCGCCGGGCTCCAGGGTCCTGGCCTGTGGCCCCTGTCAGGGCCATGGCAGGCCAGTGTGGCCCCACCGTAGGCAGTGACCTCTGGATAAGCTCCTTTTCGAAATAAAGCCCCACGAGGTTGGGGGGGCCGTGAGCTTTGGGGAGCACGGTGCCAGGTCCTCGGTGGCAGGCCTCAGGCCCCTCGGCCTCCGTGCATCTTGGCTCGGCTTGCAGTGTTGTAGCCGGAGAAGCCCGCCCACTTGGGTGTTCATGGGCCACTGCTGGGTTCTGGGCCCATCCGGACACTGGGCCAGGCAGACCGGACCCCAGACCCAGGACCAGCCCAGCTGATAGGCCCAGCCCCACGTGGACATGCGCGTGTCCCCAGGATCGTCCCACTGTAGCCGGCCACATCTACCTGCAGGCCCCTCAGGCAGCTGCAGGGAAACGGGCCTCCCTGGCCACCATAAATCAGCACAGGAATGCGGGCCAGCCAGTCTGGCGCTGGCCGGGGTGGGGCGTAGACAAAGGCCCAGCTGCTGGCCCTCTGCTTGGCCTCCGCCACCCGGGGCAGAGGTCTGGGCTCGCGGCACCACCACCCTTTCCAGAAGGCCCCCCCCCATCTCCATTATACAGATGGGGAAACTGAGGCCCAGAGAGGTGTAGGTTTGCAGAAGGGTGGCCAGGGATGTCCTGGGGACAGCACCGTGCTTTGGCCATGCTCTTGGGACCTGATGACAGATTATCCTCCCTGGGCCTAATTGGTGGTTTCAAGGCCCCCCGCAGTCCAGCCAGGCACATTCCCAAGCTGAATTTGAAGCCTGGTATTGGCTTCCGCCCCTCCTCAGCAAATTGGCCCCCTCGCACTGCACCTTCTAACCATGTCTGCCTACTGCCCCCGCAGAGCGCGGACCCCTGCCCACCCACAAAACCCCACCGGCTGGCCAGCGGGGCCACGGACCCCATGTCCCAGCGGATCCCCCACGTTGGTTCCTCCCTGGCCGAAGCAGCAGGATGGAGCGGGAGGGTGTCTGGGCCAGCAGGCCCCGGCACTCCCAGGCTGTGCCCCTCGCCCGTGTGCAGGCCTCGGTTTCCCTGGCGCCAATCAGATGCCTCTGGGGGAGCAGAGTGCACGGGGTGCCCAGGCCGCAGGAAGGGTCCCAGGCCGGGGTGTCTGGTGACCCCTGTGAGCTCTGGTGGTGCTGAAGGGACCTGGGGAATGGCAGGGGGACAGGGGACCTGACCCTGAATGCAGAGGAGATGGGGACGCGGGGGACGTCGACGAGGCCTGCAGGGTGCTGCGGCAGGGCTGTGGGGGGATTCCCGCTTCCAGCCCCAGGTGAGCTGGGGCCGCCTGCTCATGTGCGTCCCCCTCCTGGAACCAGGGCCCCCAGCTGTCTAGGACAGCCCTGCAGGGGGACGTGGTCCCTCTCCAGCGCCCACTAGCCCGCCCCCTCTGCCCTTGCAGCTCTATGAACTGGACGGGGACCCCAAGAGGAAGGAGTTCCTGGACGACTTGTTCACCTTTATGCAGAAGCGAGGTGAGTCCCCGCCCGGGCCCTTGAGAGTGCAGGTGGCCCCCCGGGCTCTCAGCTGGGACCCAGGAGGGGCCTGATGACAGAGGCTGGCCCGGCCCTGGGGTCTGGCCGGGAAGCAGCGGGCATGATAAAGCCTGCGTCTCCCTCTCACCCCTGGTACTGGCCCAAGTGCCTCTGCAGCCGTGTCCCCTGATCCTCCTGGGTGGACGCCCACCTGCGAAGGGCCTCATGACCTCAGCCCTGAGAACAGGGGGGTGACGAGATGGGAGGGCCAGCCACGGGCAGTTCTGGACGGGTGTCCCGGTGGGGAGGCAGAGACCCTGACCAGAGGCAGGCGGCTCCTCAGCTCCAGGCTCAGGCCTGGGGACAGGAGAGGGGGGACTGAGTGTCTCCAGCACTGGCCTCACAGCCGGACCCTCAGCCTAAAGTGGCCAGTGGGCAGGCAGAACCAGCTCTCGCCCCCTGAGCCCTGGTCAGCTGAATGGGGTCCTGCCACAGGGTGGGGCTGGCTCTCGCAAGCCTCCTGGACCCCTGGACAGCCCCTGCTTTTCAGGGGAAGAAAGGCCCAGAGAGTTCCGCCGGCTCCCGGTTCAGGGCTGTTGCCCAGCGCTGGCTTTGTGTGGGCCTCTGCCGGCTTCTGTAAACACAGGCCACCAGGCCCTGCCACCGGAAGGGCAGGGGAAGGGGGGCCGCAGCCTCAGACCTCACTGCCCAGCAGCCTTGGGTTAACCCCTCCTGTGCCGGCTGGGAACTCAGGGTGGTCCCGGGGCGGGAGCCCTGTGCGTTATCTGAGGCCAGCTTTGCCGTCTCTGGCCAGAGAGATGGCCCCTCCGCCGTTATCACCCCGTTCCCACCTGCCTGTGCCCCACCCCCACACCCCAGGGGCTCGGGTCCCCCAGACCCAGAACCGCCACTCTGCCCCAGCCCTAGTGCCCATCCCCAGCGCCCAGGCAGACTTGTCCCCCACTCTGCACCCTGGACAGCGTGACCTGGATCTCCCGCCCCTTCTTTACTCCAATCAGAGCAAGAGTATTTATTTTCCTGCATCAGAAAGGAAAAACCTCCAACAGAATTTCTCCCAGAATTTACTGGGGACTGAAAGGGAGGGGAGGAGTCCTGTCTGCACCCTGCCGCCTCCCTGGCCTGCCGCCCCATCCCCGTCCCCGCCCTCCGAGTCTCTGCTGGGCCTCCGCGGTGCTCCTGGCGTTCTGCGAACCTCGGCGGAGACGAGGGTGGCCTCGCGGTGCCTGCTGGCTTCCTTGCTTGGCCCGTGAGGCCCTGAGCAGGGCAGCTGGGTCTCGGCTTGTCCTCTTACCTCCCTTTTGGGCTGAAAAATGGAATTTGGGTGCCATGGTGCCTCTAAGGCTCACCCTCCTCCACCAGCCAGGTGCCCCCATCCCACTTTTTTTTTCCTATATTTTTGGTTGTCAGTGGGTTTTAATTTTTATGTTGTGCTGAGAATCGAGCCCAGTGCTTCACACGTGGTACGCAAGTGCTCTACCACTGAGCCCCAGCCCTTTGTAAAAATTTTAAATTCTGACACAGGGTCTCATTAAGTTGCTCAGGCTGGCCTCAGAGTTGGGGACCTTCTGCCTCAGCCTCCTGAGTTGCTGGACAGCAGACGTGTCCCACGATGTGCAGCGTCCCTGGGAGTTTGCAACTTGGAAAGGCCTGGGAAATGCTGGGCCCAGGAGACAGAGTGCTAGTGTGTGCCCAGGGTGGGTGGGCTGGCCCCTGACTCAAAGGGGGTCATGCCCTGCAGTGGGGCTGCTGGTCACTGAGTCCCTGCTGGGTGCTAGGCTGAGTGACCCCGTAAGGCAGGACAGCCAACAGGCCCCAGCAGATGACCTCTCCCCAGCCCAGTTCCAGAGGTACGTGTGATATAAGGGGCTTTGCCTGCCCGGGGGCTGGGGGCAAGCCAGGCTCGAGCAGCCAGGTGGGCGCAGGGCAGCAGGGGCCAGTCTGCAGCAGGCTGTGGGCAGAGGAGGTTGGGGCAGGCAGTGGGTGCAGATGGACCCTCCCTGGGCTTGCCCCCTCTTCCTCCTCTGCACGCAGACGGGGCTGGCTAGCCTCCCTCACCCACCACCTCACCTGCAGCTCTGCCATCTGCCAGATGGGAGGGCCCCTGGGGACCCAGGCCCAGTTATCATAGCTGGAGATGAGTCTGCGACCCTCACACGTCCCCCAGGTTGGCCTGAGGCCTCAGGAGATCAGTGCTGCCCCAGAGCCCGGTTACTCCAGAGCCGAGGCACAGCTGTCCCCTGTGCTGCAGGGGTCTCGCCAGAGGCGACAGTCCCTAGGGGACCTGGGGCCAGGTCGGCGACCTGTGTGGCCATTGGGACTGGGGTGCTCCTGGCCTGGAACCGCGAGGGTGCCTGGCCCCTGGTGCCCGGGGTGTGACCGTGCCGCCCAGCTCACCACGCGCCCACCTACAGGCACGCCGGTGAACCGCATCCCCATCATGGCCAAGCAGGTGCTGGACCTGTTCATGCTGTACGTGCTGGTCACGGAGAAGGGCGGCCTCGTGGAGGTCATCAACAAGAAGCTGTGGCGCGAGATCACCAAGGGCCTCAACCTGCCCACCTCCATCACCAGTGCCGCCTTCACCCTGCGGACCCAGTGAGTGGGCTGCCCGGCGCGGGGGGCCTGTGGGCAGCCATCCCAGGGCCACGGGGGCCTCGGACGGAGGTGCCACCCTGTCCCCTGCCCACAGGTACATGAAGTACCTGTACCCCTACGAGTGCGAGAGGCGGGGCCTCAGCAGCCCCAGCGAGCTCCAAGCCGCCATCGACAGCAACCGCAGAGAGGGCCGGCGCCAGAGCTTCGGGGGCTCGCTCTTCACCTACTCTCCGGGCGGGGCCCACAGCACGCTGTCCTCGCCCAAGCTGCCCGTGCCCTCCCTGGGCCTGGCGGCCAGCACCAATGGCAGCTCCATCACCCCGGCCCCCAAGATCAAGAAAGGTAGGGGCCTCCTGGGGCTGTATCCAGCTTCACCTGGGGGTCTCTGCTCCCTGGATAGCCGTGACGAACCCCGACACGGACACGGAAGAGGGCTGCTGTCCCCACGTGCTGCGCCCAGGGCAGACCCACACCCAGCCCACGGACGTCTCTAGTCAGTCCTGACCTCCCAGTTCTTTGCCAAAGCAGACATTACACATCGAGCACGATTTTCTCATCTCTGCCCACGGCAGACATTACCAACAGAGCGTGCTCCTCCTGGTCCACGCCGAGGCGGACGCTGAGCCCGCACACCCCTCGTCAGGGCAGCCTTGGGACTTGCCCGTGACAGACATTACTAGGTGATCACTATATTTTTTCCCTCTGAGCTTTGGAGTCCCTCTCGACACGGTCCCAGCAGACATATGCAAAGGGACGTGTCATCCGTCACCTTGACCCTTAAACCGTCTGGGAAGCTGTTGTGAGATGCCCCTGGGCAGGTCACTGTCCCTTTCTGAGCTGGCTTTCCTCATGTGGAAAGAAAGGGAGATGATCTTTGTGGGGTCAGGAGCGTGTGGTGTGCAAGGGCTTGGTACAGCGGGCGAGGCGCACGGGCCTGAGGCTGAGCCCTCCCCATTATGCAGACCCCAGCCACGGCTTCTCCCCTGCTGAGCCTCCGAGTCCTTCCTCACGCCTGCCCCGGGGCCTCGGGACCCCGTCAGTTCCCGTTTCCCACCTGCCACACAGGCTGGGGACCCTCTCCTCCCAGGGTCGTCCTCACAGCCCGAGAGTGAGGCTGGGCTGACCCCAGCTCATGACCCTCGCGGCCTCTGGGGGTCCCAGCGATACCCACGATGGCTGCTGAGCGCCATGTCAAGGCCCCATGCCTGAGGTCAGGGAGACAAAGGCCAGGCAAAGATGGCGGTTCTGACCCGGGAGCCCCTGGTACAGCAGTAGGTCTGCAGACATGGGGGAAGAGGGGCAGGGCGCTCCTGGGAAGGCAGCGTCTGCGTTGAGACCAGAGATTTCTGAGGCAGAAAGCACAGTGTCACCAAGGTCCAGAGTGGAGAGCCAGCAAGTAGAGGCAGCGCCAGGTGGAGACTTGGAAAGACACGTTCAGGGAGAAGATGCCCAGGGTCAGAGTGGCACCCTTGTGTGGGAAGAGGGGAATGTCTGCCAGCCGGTTCTGGAGCCGGGCTGCGCCTGGACTGCCGGCCGAGCCCTCACGGGCTCTGCGGCTTTGGGAGAGCTTCTGTCCGTGGACGTTGGAAGGTGCTTGGGACACTGGGGAGCCCCTGCCCTTTGTTCATGGTCAGATAGGACTGCAGGGCAGCTGCTGGCATTGGAGCCGGCAGCCCACTGTCCCGGCGCAGGGGACCTGCCGACAGTGGCCCTCTGGCGTCTGTCTTCCTGGGGAGGCTGAGCACCTCCTCTGTGAGGTGTCTGTCCACACCCTGCCTGGGTGGAGCGCGAGGCAGGCCCAGGTCCTTCTGACCACCGGCTCCTCTCCTCTCTGTCTAGAGGAGGACTTGGCCATCCCCATCACGGTCCCTGGCCGCCTGCCCGTGTCCCTGGCGGGCCACCCGGTGGTGGCTGCCCAGGCCGCCGCAGTGCAGGCCGCGGCAGCCCAGGCCGCCGTGGCAGCCCAGGCAGCTGCTCTGGAGCAGCTTCGGGAGAAGCTGGAATCTGGGGAGCCCCCTGAGAAGAAGATGGCCCTGGTGACTGATGAGCAGCAGCGGCTCATGCAGCGAGCACTGCAGCAGAACTTCCTGGCCATGACGGCGCAGCTGCCCATGAGCATCCGGATCAACAGCCAAGGTACCAACCCAGCACCCAGACCTCTGAGCCAAGGCCCGCAGAGTGTCGGCAAGTCCCTAAGAAGAAGGCCACGGGACTGGTGGGGGAGGGGCAGCTAGACAGTGAAGTCCCGTGAAACGCTGCTGGCTTCCCTCTCACTGGGGATCTGTGACACAGAGATGTCACCACCTGGCAGAGTCGATTCCTGTCCAGCATTGACCAGGATGTGGGGACATGGCCCCCTTGGTCCTGCTGGTGGGAGTGTGAAAAGGTGACTGACTATTTGGCAATCCCTTCTACAATAGAACATGTCCTTGCCCCGTGACCCAGAGCTGCCTGCTGGTATCCAGAGCAGGGACTTGTGCAAGTGCACAAGCAGTTGCCCAGCGTGACAAGACGGCTCCTGGGCTTGCGGGCTCAGGCCCTGCTCACGCCTGCCCGCGTCCCCTGCAGACTTTGAACCCTTTGTGGATGACTTATAGCACCTAATACAATGTAAACGCTGGGTATGTAGTTGTTACACTGTATTGTTCGGAGTCTGTCCAGGCATAATTTTTTTCTAGCGCTGGAGATGGAATCCAGGGACACTCTTAATTACTGAGCTATGCCACAGCCCTTTGGGAAAAAAAAAAAAATTATTTTGAGACAGGGTCTCACTAAATTGCAGAAGTTGGCCTTGAGCATCCTCCTGCCTCAGCCTCCCAAGGGCCTGGCTCCAGTGTGCTGTTCTTCCCACTGTTTTCCATGCACAGTTGTCGGGTCTGCAGGTGCAGAACCTGAGGAGACAGAGGGCCAAGGACACGTCAGGGTGTGTGTTGTGGTCACCCTAAAGTGAGCCGATTGGATCTTCTGGTGTCTCCTAAGATTCAGAGTCATGGAAAAAGCTAACTGTGGGCAGTTCTTACCTTTTTGTTTCTGCTTGACAAACGCAGCCGTATTGGTAGCTTAAGTGTGGCACACACAGCCCTGAGAAGCTCAAGGGGGGCTGGGGAGGACGCTGCCCACGTACTTGTGGTCATCCTGATAGGTTTCTTCTCCCCACAGCCTCTGAGAGTCGCCAGGACTCGGCTGTGAGCCTGACTGGCTCCAATGGCAGCAACAGCATTAGCATGTCGGTGGAGATCAACGGCATCATGTACACAGGTGAGTCCCGGGCCGTGGGCACCCCAGGGGGGCCCAGTGCCTCAGCTCTGGGGGGGTTGTAAAGGCAGGGTCTTCCCAAGGGAGGCCCCAGTGTGGTGCCCTCTTTCTTTGAGATGGGGGTCCCACTTTGTTGGGTCTCAGACTCCTGGGCTCGGGTGGTCTTCCGGCCTCAGCCTCCTGGCGGCTGGACAGGGTGCTTCCCACCACACCCACCAATCTCCTCTTTATTTCCTTTTTCCTTTTGGTGCTGGAATGGGAACCCAGGGCCTCCCGTGGGGGCGCTAAGCACTGGGCGGCACCCCCAGCCCCGGGGAAGGCAGGCCCAGGAGGCCACGGGGCTGGGGGCAGCTGTGGGGAGCTGCAGGGCGGGGCTCTGGCGGGGTCCAGAGCACCCCAGAGAGGGCGGAGCAGCTTACACTCCGCCGGGTCAGAGCGCGGAGGTGGCCGGTCCTGCATGATCTCTCTTTCCGTCCCGTGTCAGGAGTGCTGTTTGCCCAGCCGCCGGCCCCCACGCCACCCTCGGCTCCCAGTAAGGGCGGCGGCGGCAGCAACTCCGGCGGCGGCGGCGGCAGCCGGGGAGCATCGGGCGGGACCAGCGGCGGCGCGGGCGGCCAGGCCGGGCCTGCAGGACGGCCCGGGCCCCCCACCTCTACCTCAGATACCTCGCTGCCTTAGCCGCCCCTGCCGCCACCAGCGCCGCCACCACCTACGGAGCACGCCCTGCGGGGCCCTGCGCACCAGGAGGGTGCGCGGTGCGCGGGAGGGTGAGGCCCCCAGGAAGCCAGCCGACGCCAAAAAGGAAAGAAAATATATACATATATAAATATATATATATATATATATATATATATAAAGCAAATTTAATAAAACAGGGAGCGCGGGGAACACTGGGAAGTCTCAGGTTTCAGACACCGAGAGGAACCGTCAGGACCACGAGGAGCCAGCCCCGGGGCGCGCAGTGCGCTCCGCTCCCTCGCCAGCCTGCGCCCCGCGCGGAGCGGGACCCCTGAGCCACAGCCACTGAATTTGTTTTTTCCTGATGCTTTGGAAACTTACTTTCTTTCTTTAAAAAAAAAAAAAAATAGCGATGTTCAAATTCTATAGGTTTTTAAAAGGTTTCCGGGTTTGTTTGTAAATACTCTATTTTATTCTTGGGGAGGGGGGTCAAACTTTAGGAAAAGGAATATCTATATATCTATATATCTATATATTTGTGTTCATTCAGGGAAACGGACTTGAAAGCAAACACACCAACCCGGTAATAACTGTATTCTCCCGGGGACGTGCGGGCTCCCGCCCCATCCCGTGGCCACGGACCGCTGGCCCGGCCACTCCGCTGCGAGCGGCTGGCAGGCCGGCGCATGCGCCGTTCGTGGGCCCACTTGGGGTTCCCGGGACGCCCTCTCTGGTGCTGGCTCCAGCTGCCGGGCCTCAATTCAGGGACCTGGAAATCTTAACCAGGAAGTAGAAAGGGCCTGGAGCTTGGGAGGGGACTTCACGGTGGCAGCCCCCAGGCTTCTGACTCAGGGACGAATATGCTGGACTCTCTTGCCTAAAAGGGCTATTTTGGGGACTATCAATGTGGGGGAATGGGGTGCAGCCGGGCCTAGCTCAGGGTGAGGATTTTGGGGCCACGGATCCCCAGCACCCCACCCCCACATTCTCATCTCTTTTCCTTTGTCTTCTCTTCACCCCGTTTGCAAGGGGCTGGGGCTCCCCGTGGTTTTACAGGGACAGTAAATAGAGGCCACGAAGGACCGTAGTCCACCCAGGTCAGTAGGTGTCCTCCATGCCGGGCAGAACTGGGCTTCATTTCTGCCACAGCCACTGGGGCAGAAACTCCTCCGTCCCCAACCTGGGTTCAGGGAATGCCCCTGGGCCGAGCTCAGCTCCCGTTGTCCCTGGAGACTGCGGTGGCTCCGGCTAGGCCCAGGTGAGCCTGGGAGCGCTAATTGGGCCCAGGGCACCTGGCCTGCTGGGCCCCCAGACCTCAGGCAGGCTCCTGGCCTGGCAGAGTCCTTTCCTGTCTTTGAGAGGGAGGGAATCCTTTTCTTCTTCCTAGGTCTCAGGGCCATCAACAGGCCCCCCTCCCAGGAGGGGTGGGGCCCTCCAGAGCTCTTCTTGGCTTTTCTTCTGGAAGGTTCTGCCTGCCTCATCTTGGGGGCAGGCATCTTAGCAGCACAATCATTCCTGGGAGTGGGGGTCTTTTTGTCCCAAGACTCAATCTTGCCCCCTCTCCGAGAACCATCTGGACTCTGTCCAAAATCTGCTCCTTCAGCCTCCTGGCCGCAACTCTGCAGCCAGCTGCCTTGGGGGCTGCAGCCCCTTGTCCTGTACGAGGGCCCCGTGTGGGGGACTGTCCACTGCACATTTCTTTCTACCTCAGGTCTGACTTTTGATGCCAAAAACTGGCCCAGTGGCCACCCAGGTACTCAGTGCGCGGGGCCAGGGCCACCTCCACCTGCCCCCTCAGATGGAGTTTTTTCTTAGGTGACGCGTGTGTGGTGTGCTTGTGGGGACCCACTTCGGGGTGTGTGGCGGGCCAGCTTTGCACGAGGACTGGATCCTGACTCAGGGACCTGGCCTGCCGGCTGCTCGATGCTTATAGGACCCTGGAGCCCTGGCAGCCATGAATGGGAGTCTCTGGAACCCTGTGTCCCAACAGGCAGGAGCTGTGGGCCCTGAGTGGCCTGCCTGTCTCCTGGCCAGTCTGCTGGTAGGGGTTCTAAGGAGTGTCTTTCTGGGGCACAGCTCAGCACCCCATTATGCCAACATATGGAAGGGGTGACCTGCCAGGCCCAGGGGACTTGGGTGTGTGTACTGTCCACTGGCACCTTGGGTCTTGGGTGGGCACAGCCGGCAGGCTCCCAAACCCAGGGCGCAGGGGCTAGCAGGGTCCTGGAAGTGAGTGGGGCCCTGGGCGGGGCTGTCCCCCTGTCCACTGTGGGCGAGGTTGGGGGGCATGGGGCCTCCAGGCGGTGTTTAGAGTTGTGGTCCTACAGTCACATCTTTCTCTGACCATTTGGCCCACCTTCCTTCATTGCTTTCCGTTGAATTTTGGCTTTTGCGTTTTTTCTTGGCAAACACAAGCTCAGCCTTTCATCTCGAAGGTCAAAGTTTCAGTTTCTCGGGGGCTTGTCAGATGGCGTGCAGATCACGCCCAAACTCAGGTAAAGGGGAAAAAACTTAAAAAAAAAAAAAAGTATAAACTGCTGTCTACCTCTGGCTGGGCCCCTGTCACACTGCAGCCAGGGCAGGGTGACCTGCATCAATCTCAGTTTTTGCAGAACATTCAGGTATTAAAAGGAAAAAAAAAAGGCAAAAGACAAAAAGACCCCCCAAAAAAGTGTGATTTTGAAATTTAAAAGAACACTGAAAGTTTACATTTTATAACATTATTATGCAGATTGTATTTAAACTTCAGAAATATTTAAGACAATTGTAACCATGTAAAGCTGATGAGATATTAAAACAAGACAAACTCTTCTGACTTTAACAGAAAAATGTCTCCTGTGCTGTTTTTTGGGGAGCAGCACCCTTGGCCAGGCCACGTGGGGTGGGCCGTCCTAGGGCGGGCAGTCTAGCCGCATCCACCTTGAGTCTCAGGTTGGTGCCAGCAGGTAGAAGGTGCCTGCTACAGGGGAGTCCTGAACTGGGGCCTGTACCCCAGGGGCCCTGGGCCATGACAGGTGTTTGGCATCTCCCCTGGGTAGGTGCAGGCCACAGACGCTGCTCAGCCCCCCCCCCAGGCCCAGGACCCCATTCAGGCCTACACGTCCCCTGTGCTGAGGGGCCCCTGGTTTAAGCCATGGCTCAGAGGTGACTCCCTGGCCTTCCCCTGAGCTTTCACCGGGTCAGCAGGGTGCAGGGCCGGCCATAGCTTCTGGCCCCCAGCCCCAAGAGGCTCCCTGCCTGGGGGGTGCTGGGTGACCCTGGGTCATGTGACCGGCGCCACGCGGCAGGCGCCCTGCTTGCCGACTGGAGCCCCTGTCCTGGCGTTCTCAGGTCTGAAAATCTCCTTTTCGTCCTGTGTGACCCAGACACATACAGCCCGCTCCCGCGACTCACCCACCAGGACGTCATCCGGGTCCCCTGGGCGAGGGCACGTGACTCCTGCCCCTGCCCTGGGGACAGCCCAGCAGAAGCCGGCTGACACAGCTGGGGCTCCCTGCTCCCTGGGCCTCCCCTGGGGTTGGCTTTCCCTCAAAGGGCTCATTGCCAGCCTGACCCCAGGGTCCTGCTGGAGACCAGGCCTCGGGGTCCAGGCACAGCAGGTGTGGCCTCCAGGGAGCAGCGCCCTGGGAACCAGATGAAGGAGGTGCCCGGCTGACCTCCCTGTTCACACTCAAGGGCAGCATGGCTAGGTGGGCAGGCGCAGACTGGCCACCTGGCTCCCCTGCCCCAAAGTTCTGGCCAGGGCTGGCCTGGGCTGCTCCCTCTCCAGGCTGCCTGTTGGAGAGAAAAACAACTCCCTCTCTACCCCCAGAGCCCTGGCTCCCGGGTCACCTGAGGCCCTGTATCCAGAGCCTGCTAAAGAGGAACATACCCCTGCCACAAGTCCATCTGCCACCACTCCCAGAAGAGGTTGGCCCATCAGTCCCTGGACCCCCAGGGAGATAAGGACAGGGATCAAAAACAAAAGGCCCCTCTCCAGCAAAGTGGACGGTCCAGTCCTGCAGCTTCATTCCTCAGCCAGGTGCCTCAGGGAGGGAGCTGAGGGGCCCTGAGGCCACACAGCCCTGGGGACACAGCCAGGATCCAGCCCCCATCCTCCCCAGCCCACATGGGTCAGCAGAGGCCAGGGGCTGGCTTGGTCTCAAGGAGGGGGTGGTGACTGAGTCACCTGTCCTCCCTCTGCCCTCAGTGTGGACCAGGGGCTGCCCTGAGGACAGCTGGACCTTGCTGGTGTGGCCTGCGGTCAGGGTGGGGGCGGGCCAGAGGGAGGGTGTGGGTCTCAGCTCCAGTTTCCTGGGAGGCTGCCCCACCCCCACACACTCCCAGCCTCAGATGGAGGACAGGCGCCCAGCTGGCACCAAGACCCAGTCACTGGGTGGTCTGGGGACGCCCCCAAGTGTGGCTTTTATCCAGCAGCTCTGACAACTGGTCAGTCCTCATTCCAGGAGCCAGGCTGGGGGTGGGGTGACCTCTGACCCTGCAAAGCAGTCCAGCCAGCAGGTCCCCGGAGGGGAGAAGGGAGGGCCACACTTGCCTGGCCTGTGAGGGGGATGACCGCAGTCCAGCTGCCCAGCCTGCCCTGGCAGACCATCTACCACAAGGGCCTCTTTGGGGCTCGGAGTCCATACACCTCTTCCCGACACCCACAGGGCCTGTCTAAGATCCTGGAACCCAGGAACTCAGAGGCTTCCGGTTCAGACTCCCCTGGGGACGCGGCCAGGGTGCATCCTAGCCCTCACAGAACCCTCTCAGCAGCACCCCAAGAACAACAGCACCCCTACACACAGGAGGGGATCTGAGGCCCAGAGCCAAGCAGTGACCTGCCCCAGGTACAAAGGAGGCAAAATCAGCCCGGGTCTCCCTCCAGCTGGTGTGTGAACATGAAGTCAGCCCTGGAGGTGACTGCCCCTGCTGTGCTGTGGGACCCCGGCTCCAGGGAGCCTCATGCCGGCCTCTGACTTCTCTTTCTTGTTTGTCTTCCTGGTTTCTTACAGTGGCTAAGAAGGCAGGGAGGAGGCCTGGAAAAAAACACCATGGTGGCGCGCTTGTCATCCCCACCTCTCCTAGGAGGCAGGGGGGCGGCAGGTTCAGGGCCAGCCTCCCCAACTCAGCAAGGCCCTGTCCTAGAAAGTTACAAGGCCTGGTCGCAGCTCAGAGGTAGGGCGCCCCTGGGCTCAAGCCCCCGCAAACACCCCACCACATTCTGGAAGGGGACCGGAGCCGCTCCTGGGGCCGGACTCGCTCAGGACAAAATGCAGCCAAGCTGCACCACGAGG